TCCCGAACGGTCGCCGGAGGCCCGAAGCATGACCCGAAAACCATCAGGCATGCAAGAGGGGGCGAGGACTATGGAGGTGTGGATACCATGGTCGGGGCCATAAAACCTTCCAGGTCTCATTGCCGTCTCTCCTTATTCGTGTTCTTATGTTTGCCAACTGTTCGATTAGGTTTATTGCCACTCTCGTTCCCACTCGTAGTAGGTGCATTTATGTTATACCGATCTTATATGTTGGTTGTATTGATAACACTCGTCCTCGTACGCTGCTTGCTGTCATCGCTGGCCTCAGAGCTGCTAGTGCTAGCATAGTTGCCATCATTGTGAAAGTAGGATTTCTATGTTTACTGCTGCTCTTGTTCTGGCTCTCACTCCTCCAGTGCGCTCCCTGGCCTCCCCCTTCGTCGGAGCACATGCCTCGGGCCACGTTGCGCCGACCTCCCCCCCCCTTCCTGGCCCCCCCCCTCGACGCACCCGGTCTCCGCAGACGCCTCCTGGGCCAGCTTCGTGGCGGGCGTCGCGGGGCTGGTGCACGCTGGCGGCGACTGGGGCGCGCTGCTGGGGCTCTGGCCGGCGGAGGGCGGCGAGCCGCAGGACGAGCTGCTGCACGCGGAGCTGGCCGCGCGGCTCTGCTTCTGGTGCGCCGTGGGCGCGGGCGCGCCCCGCGGCCAGGGCGGGCCGGAGCCGGGCGCGGGCGCCGACGCCGCCGAGGCGGAGGGCCCCGGGGGCGCCGCCGGTGCCGGCGGCGCCGACCCGGAGCTGCTGATCGCGGCGCTGCGGCCTCCTGGCGAGTGCGGCGAGGAGGCCGGCGCGCTGCAGGTCAGTGCGTGTCGTTGGGCCAACCCCGAGCCCCAGCCCGGTCCCCCGAGATCCGGGCGTGCCCATGTTTTCGAGCCGGGTGTTTCCGCTCTAGACTCGGGCGCCGGGGCCCTCACAGGTGGATCAGCTCGACAAGTGGCGCAGAAAGTTGGGGCCGGGGGCTCCAGTCGTGATATGTTACTATGTTTCAACTTTGTCGAGACGTCGGATCTCAGGGCCTCCACCATCCCACCACCCCAGTCGGGGAGAGATGCTCCTCGAAGCCCGACAGGAGCAGCTTGCACCCCCATCTGGCAGGGTGGCTCGGCCAGTGGAGCCCAGGCCGCGCCAGTGGGAGTAGGAATAGGCTCCGCGATGCTCCGCAGGCGCACCTGGAGCGGGCGGCACCCATGCTGCCGCGCGCCGTGGGCGCGAGGGTGGCGACCCTGCTGCTGGGCGCGCCCCCGCCACCCGACCACCTGAGCGCCGTGCTAGCTCAGAGCCGTGCCGTGCAGGCCGGGGGGCGCCAGGCACCAGGCCTGGGGGCACCAGGCACCAGCCGCTCCGTTGTCGCTGCCGTTGAGCGGCAGCGACAACGGAGCCCTAACCTTTTCGCCGAGCAACGATTCGGGCAACTCGATGGGCGGGGGGGGTGCCGTGGAGGGAAAACATTGTGCACCAAGAGTTGAGGGACCACTCCGAGTACACCCCCCTCGCACCCCCCCTGGCCTTCATGTTGAGCAGTTGGTCTCGGAGACGCGCGGCCGAAAAATCGGAACCCAAGATCTCGATCGCAATGCATTCCAATATTAAGGCCGGGGGATGGGGGGGAAATCGGTTCTTTGTTGTCGGAGCGTTTTTGATGCAAAGTTTTTGTCCTTCAACCGTAGGGTTCGGATTTCATAGAACACGTGGCGAAGTCCAGACCAGACCCTGCCCCCGCCTCCCCATCGATTCAGGAGAATCGATGGTTGGTGGGTGTATTGTGCACGGATGTCGCCAACTCTGCTGGCCACCGTACCGATCGTGGCTGGGCCCATCCTTCGGGAGGGAAGAAGAGTCTCAATGGCAGGCCGCCGTCGGAGCCTGCCGGCGTGTTACTCCTTCGTTTTTGTCCAAAGGCCTGGTGTTCCTGCAACAGTAACCGAGCGCGCGTGCGAACTGCCTCGGCCGCGCTGCGACGCGAAAAAGTGTCAATGCTGCTGCCGTTGCTCCTCACATCCTTGACCCAGAGTCGGCGACCTGCCCGCACGGCTTGGCTGGGGAGGCGCACGCACTCCCTCCTGGGCCAGGATCGGCCCGGCCAGGATCGGTGAGGTGGTCCATTGGCGTCGCTTGGTCGAGTCGACTGCACGTAACAGTGACCTTTCGCCGGGGTGACCTTTGGTGCGGGCCCAGTGGGGACTCCCGATCGCCGAACGCGAGGCGGCAGTGGCGTCTTCCGCGCTTGTGTTTGGCCCCCCAGCGCGGCCTCCGAAAAGCCGCGCACCGAAGGTCACTCTTGCCCAGGGTCACTCTTGCGTGTAGCCGATCGAGGGCGACGCGGGGCTCCTGCTGCTGCTCCGGTCGATGGACCCGCTGCTGTGGTACTCCGACGACTGGCGGCCGCTGTTCCGCGACTGGAAGGACGGCCAGTCCTTCGGCGCCCTCGTGGGGGGCACCATGCACTACGGGGGGCCCGCGCTGCTGGTGGTGCGGACGGCGGACGGGCACCTGGTGGGCGCTGTGTCCTCCAGCTGGAGGGAGCTCAACGGCAGTCGAAGCACAAAAGTTTGCACAAGCATGAGCTTCCAGATGCCCGCGCGAGTGTCTTGGCTCGGCGCTAGTTCCCCCTGGCGGCGCATCCGGCACCGCCTCTGGCGCGCTCCGCGCGCTAGGGATGGGGCCTCTGGCGCCGATCCAAGAAATCCACGCGGGCCTTCGAATGTGTACGCTGACAGTCAGGGCGCTGAAATATGGACCACTTCGGGTTCGGGAGAGTCTGGTTTTCGGGCCGTTCCTTAGATCGACGTCGGGAACCTATTCAAGGCCGAGGCTCGCCGTGGCCAAACAAAACCGTCCTTCCTTATTCCGCGTTCCTTCTGGTAGCGCGATTATTTTCCCAGGCAAGTTCGGCGGCGGGGCAGACTGCTTCCTGTTCTCCGTGACGCCCACGCTGCAGGTGATGAGGGGCAGCGGGCGGTCCCAGAACTACATGTACTTCAACTCTAAGAATAGGCACGCGCCGAGGGGTATCGGCTTCGGCGGGCAAGCAGAGATGTGCCGCCTGTGGCTCGATTCGGACTTCGAGCGGTGCCACGTGCTGGAGAGCGACGCGACGTACCAGGAGGGGCGGCTGCTGCCTGGAGACGACTACCAGATCCCTCTGGAGTGCGCCTGCGTCGAGGTCTGGGGTTTTTCTTTCCTCTTCTTCCACGTTGAATTCGTTTTCGCCGATTCTCCTCCACTTTCCCTCCACCTCCTCCTCGAATTTCAGCCCCCGCCCTCTCCCGGGGCGCGTTCCGGCCAAATTTGAATCAGAGGGAGATCCAGCCTTGGCCATGGAGGGTGCTCTTGGGAATCCGAAAAGGCTCCCAGGCCCCGAGACGCCTACAAGCCTCGATCCTCCTTTCGACCGCGCCTTAAACGTCACTGACAGTGAAGCCCCTTCTCCTTTCTCTTTCATACCGTTCCTTATAAATATGTCCTCCGTGTCGCACCCAAAGACGTGCCGGTACAGCGGTCGGGGCGTTTCGCTTGAAATGTCCTGGCCATGTATGAACCTGACATTTGAGAGTGCAACAGCTTCACGGATGGTGGTTTTCAAAATGTGGTTCTCGCCTCAGCCCCGCGTGCTTTCGTTTGAAAAGCTTGCGAGAGCTTCACGGATGGAGGGCCGTTCCTTTTCAAAAAGTAGTTCTCGCTTTGAGCGCTGCACACATTCGTTTTCAAACATTACAGCAGATGTGAATACCCTTATGGTTGACATCTCAGAAACGGTGTTCTGGCACGACAGAAGATTGTCAACACGCAACAGTGACGTTGATTCGCGGTGCTGAACTCCCAGGAACGACGTTCTGACGCGATTCACGTTCATCAGGACGCAACAGTAATGTTGATTCGTGGCGTTTAAGTGCCCCGGATAGTTTTTGGCACGGTCGAGGATTCTCAATCGGTCGTCTTCCAACGGGCCTTTCTGCAGTGAAAACTATGTTGTAGGACCTACGTCGAGGGAACTTGACGGGAGGGTTCGTTGCAACATCGTTGACGTGTCTTGGGTTTACGCTGGTCTTCCTCCTCGTCATGTTCGCTCTTCGTCCTCCTCCTCCTCCTCCTCCTTCTCTTCCTCCCCCTCCTCTTCCCCCTCCTCCTCCTCCTCCTCCTCCTCCTCCTCCTCCTCCTCCTCCCCTTCCCCTCCTCTTCCTCCTCCTCCTCTTCCTCCTCCTCCTCCTTCTTCTCCTTCTCCTCCATTCCTTCTCCATATAGATAACTCCTCCCTGTCGCACCCCGAGGCCAGTTTTTGGGGCGGGCCGAGCGTTTCGCCTGAGACTTCCCCGCCACGTATGATTCTGAAGTTTAAAAAGTGACATCAGTTTCACATATGGGGGGCGGGTCGCTTTCAAAATGTGGCTCTCGCCTTAGCGCTAGCGCCGCGCACATTCGCTTTAAAACTTTGTAAGAACTTCACGGACTGAGGGCGGGTCGTTTTCAAAATGTGGTTCTCGCCTAGCTCCGCACACGTTTTCTTTTTTAAATGTAAGAGCTTCACGGATTGAGGGCGGGTGTTTTTCAAAATGTGGCTCTCGCCTTAGCGCCGCGCACATTCGTTTTAAACATGTGTCAGAGTTTCACGAGTTGAGGGCGGGTGGTTTTCAAGTTGTGGTTCTCGCTTTAGCGCCGCGCACAATCGCTTAGAAGATTGCAAGAGTTTTGCAAATTGAGGGCGGGGCGTTTCCAAAAAGTGGTTCTCGCCTCAGCGCCGCGCACATTCGTTTTAGAAAATTGCAAGAGCTTCACGGATTGAGGACGGCTCCTTTTCAAAACGTGGCTCTCGCTTTAGCGCCGCGCACATTCGCTTTTTCATGCATGAATTTCACGTATTCCAATGATCAACGTACCAGAAATGATGTTTGGGAAGGATTCAGGATTATGCAGGCGCAACAGTTCTGTTGGTTCGCTGTATTGAAGTCCCAAAAATGTCGTGTTGTCACGATTCTGGATCGTCAGGACGTAGCAGTCAGGTTGATACGTGGCGTTAAAAACCCGAGAACAATGTTTCGGCATGCTTCAGGATCTTCAAACTGTTGTCGTCCAACGAGGCAGTTCCCTCAATGGAAATGAACCGTTGTAGGGGCCTATGAAGAGAGAGCTTGGAGGTAGGGTTAATTCCAACATCGTTGGTGCCTCTTGGGTTTCCACTGGTCCTCCTCCTCCTCCTCCTCCTCCTCCTCCTGCCCCTCCTCCTCCTCCTCCCTCCTCCCCTGCCTCCCCCCTCTCTCCTCATCATCCCTCCTCCCCTGCCTCCCTCCTCTCTGCTCATCCCTCCTCCCCTGCCTCCATCTTCCAAGGTAAATCGTTGTGGGTAAACGCTCCTCGGCGCCAACCTTTCGGCTGTCTTGGCAGGCTCCGCCCCGTCGCGCCCCCGCCTATGCCGTGGCTGGTGCCCCTGCTGCTTCCCGCTACGGAGCTGCGCGTCGTCGTCGCGAGCAGTGCCACCGCAGCAATGGGCGCCACGTGGAGTGGCTTGCATCGCTGCTTCGAGCTCGAGCTCGGGCCGCTTACCCCTCCTCAGAGCGGACGTCCTACCCCCATTACTCTTGGGTGGAGCTTTTGGCGTAGCGTGTTCTGGCCTGCAAGGCCAAAAATGCCCACTGACAGCTGAGGAAGGAGCCACCCTCCCTGAATTGAAAAGAGGGGTCCTAACGAGCCCCCCCCCTCCCCTGGCAAACGACGACGGCGAGCGCCGGCGCTGGCGCTTGCGCCGTCGGGCGAGAACGACAAGCCCGGAGCGGAGAGAGGAGAATCCACCTAGGGGGGTGGACGCTCCAGTAGGGGCAGGAGAGGCGCGCTGCCTGGGGGGGAGCACGCGGGAGGAGGCACCAGATCGGCACACACACACACACACACACACACACACACAGATCGAAGCTAGGGAGCTTACCCGGGAGAAGGCACGCCAGGACGAGCACGGGCACTACTTAGGCCCGTCCCCTGGAGAGGAGGGCCTCGGGTCATGGAGTCCACCCAGTGCGTTGGGGAAGTCGGGAACCACCGCCACAGGAGTGCCAAGGGCGCGATTGACCGTCGCACGGACTTGAACTGACGAGACGGCCCCCCTTCGAGGGCAGCCGTTCCGCTCCCTCCTTTTGACTCGTCCTCCCCAGGGCCATCCCTTGGAGGGAACGGCCCAAGGTCGGGAAGATCGTCTGGCACTCACGCGTAGCAGGAATAGGAGTATGAGGAGGACGAGGGGTGATGAAGAGGTTTCAAAAATCAAGCGATTCGCCTGAGACATCCTCATGACATTGAAACGTCGGAGGCTATCTGGCACGACGTCGTTCATGACAAGTTGTGGCTTAGAGACGTTAGTTCCCAGACTAGGTGGCGGAGCTTCACCACCTTACGGAGGTATGCTTCGGGCCTCGGGAGTAACCACAAGGCTCCAAAAGGTGTCTCCTCCTCCTCATCCTCCTCCTCCTCATCCTCCTCCATCTGTAGCTGTAGCTGGTGGCATGTGAGTCATCCTGACGCTGCCCTCCTCCTCCTCCTCCTCCTCCTCCTCCTCCTCCTCCTCCTCCTCCTCCTCCTCCTCCTCCTCCTCCTCCTCCTCCTCCTCTTCCTCCTGCTCCTCCTGCGGCGGCCGCGTGTCTGCCGCGCGCCGGAAGCACATTGATCGGGAGCCGGCGCAACCCCCCAACCCCAGAACAAGCACGCCGCTCAGCGGCAAGCAAGCCCCGGAGCCGACGGGGTGCGCCGACCGGGGCCTCTACCTCGCATACGCGGGAGCACGGCGGCGACGCCCAGCAAGGTGTAGCCGAGCGCGAGCGCTGGTCGCCCGCCCCCGGCGCCGCCCGCAGCTCTGCGCGCGCCGGCCGCCGTCGGGCCCCGGTGGCCCGGCGCCCCGGGCCCCGCAGCCGCGGCGCGCCCAGTTCCGTTCGCCCCGGCCGCGGCGGCGCGCCCGCCCAGCCCCCCGCTGGAGCAGCAGCAGCAGCAGCAGCAGCAGCAGCAGCAGCAGCAGCAGCAGCAGCGGCGGCGGCGCCGGCGGCGGCGGCGGCGGCGGCAGCAGCAGCAGCAGCAGCAGCACCGCGCCCGCCAGCGCCCCTCCGAGCCGCACCGGCGGCGCCGCGCTGCGCCGTGCCAGGCCGCCCAGCGCCGGCGCCGCTGGCGCCGCCGCCGCGCCGCAGTTGCCCGGCCCCCGCGGCGCGGCGCCCGAGCCCCAGCTGCAGCGGCGCGCCCGCCAGCCGCACAGCGCGCGCCCCCAGCGCTAGCCGCTCAGTTCTTCAGCTGCCATGGGGCCGTTCGCCCGCGCTCAGCTCGCGCGCGCGCGGCGGGGCGCCGGCTCGTCGCCGCCTGCCCCGCGGCGCGACGCCCCGCGCGAAGCCAGGCAGGCGGGGCGGAAGGCCTCCGCGCTGCAACGTCGCCGCGAGGCTCTGGCGAGCCGCCGCCAGCACGGCGGCGTCGCCGCGCGCCCAAGTGCGGAGGAGCGCCTGCGCCTCCGCCCCAGCGCGCCCCAGTGCCTCCAGCGCGAAGGCCGTGAGAGCCGGGCCCGGGTAGCGCTTGTGTTTGCGCTCCTACCCGGCCGCCGCGGCCGCGCCGTCCCAGACGGCGCGGCCCCAGCCCGCCGGCGTGTCTGCGCCCAGGGCGGCGTCTGCGACCACCACGTCGGCGTAGGACACGCCAGCCGCGGGGTCGGTGAAGACCACGTCGAGGCGGGCTGCCTCGACAGAGCCGTCCGCCCGAGCCCGGTCCCAGGCGGGCACGAATTGCTCCGTGCCCACGACGCCCGTTGCGCCCCGGGCCTGCAGCCAGCGGGCGAGCCAGTCCCTGACGCCGTCGGGGCGGTGGCTCGTGCCGCCGCCGACGTGGCAGCCCAGGCAGTGCCCTGGCGTCGCGGCCAAGTCGGCCCCGCAGAGCGCGCCGTCCTTCCGGCGCCGGAGGCAGGTGGCGCTGGCGCCCGCAGGCGCAGGCAGCTGTGGACGCAGCGCCAGGGCTGGGAGGAGGTGCGCGTCCGCCATGACGTGGTCCTCCTCGGCGGGATCCCGCGCCCTTCCTGCTGGCCGAGCGGAGCTGCGCTGCGCGGTTCGGCGCAGGGCGCCCAGAGGAGCCGCTGCCGCCGTGCGTGCTGCTCCGGCGCCGCGAGGGCCCGCTGCGCCTTGGCCCTCGGCTCCGCGGCGGCGCAAAGCCAATCCGCGCCGCGCACCTGGAGCGCGCGGCCCGCGCCCTCGGCCCCCCTCCACGCCGTCGGGCAAGCCTGCTGGAAGGCCTCGAGGCTGGGCACGCCGAGCTCCCTGCAGACGCCGGCCAGACACGCCTGCCAAGCCCCCGCCAAGGCTGGGAGCCTCCTGTGCGCGAGGCCTTGGAGGCCGAGCCCGCCAGCGGCGAGGGGCAGGAGGGCCAGGTCGCGCGCGTGGGCGGGGAGCTCCTGGTCCCCGGTGAGCGGCTTCAGGACCTCGTGCACGTGGCCGAGAACCACTGCGTCGTGACCCTGGCACCACGCCTCGTCGAGCAGATGCGCCCTTGCGTGGTGCAGGGCCGCGCCGTTGGCGAAGGTGCGAAGCAGCGCGAGCTCGTCTTGGGCGCGCAGCCCGTGCTTTCGGAACTGGCGGAGGGCCGCGAGGTAGGCGTCGAGGTGGTCCCAGGCCGCCTGCGGGGCGGCAGCCGGCGAGAAGCTCGTCCGTGCAGGGTCGGCGCCCGGGGCTGCTCCCGCGGCGTGGCGCACGTAGGGGAGAGTGTTTCCCACGCGCGTGAGCTCGGGCACCTCCGCCCTGGCCAGCGGCCCAGGGAGCTGCAGGGCGCGCGGGTTCCACACCTTCGTCTTCCGCGGGTTCACGCGGAGGCCCCGCGCCGAGAAGAGCCCCCGCGCGGCGAGGAGTGCCGCTGCCAGTGCGCGCGGGCTGCCCACGACGTACGCGTCGTCGAGGTAGGCCACCACCTTGGCCTCGGGGTCCACGCGGCGCGCCGCCGTCTCCAGGCACTCGTAGAGCGCCTCCGTCGCCACTGCGAAGAACGCAGGGGGCAGGGGGCAACCCTGGTCCACCCCGCGCTGCGCTGTGACCGACGCCGCCCTGGCCCTGGGAAGGCGGGCCCCGTGCGTGGTGGCGCCGCCGTACCACGCCGCCGCGAGCCGCGCCAGCTCTGGCAGGCGGCCGGAGACCTCCCGCAACAGGGTGTCCCGGCAGAGCTCGTTGAATGCGTTGGCAACGTCCAGGGAGAGCACGGCGGCGCCTGGGTCCCTCTCCAGAGCGGTCGCCACGACGCGGTGCATCAGCTCGATCCCGTTTTTGCGGCCATCGCCAAACTGGTGGCGCCCCGCTGCCGTGGCGATGATTTCTTTGTGAGCCGCCGTGGCCGCCTTAGCCGCCATCCTGCGCAGCGTCTCGCCGCAGGCAAGCGGCCGCACGCCGCCCCCAGGCTTCAGCAGCGGCAGCAGCCGCACGGCGAGGAGAGCCTGTTTCGCCTGCGCCGGCGCCCGGCCTTCGAGGATGAGGACGAGGACCTGCGCGAGCGCCTGAGTCCCCTCTTCGTGCCCACGCGCGCCGCCGCCGCCCATGGCGCAACCCCCGGCGCCCTGGGAGGCTGAGGCCGCCGAGGCGGCGGCAGGCAGCCTCGCGAAGTACCCTCGCAACTCGGGCCCGGGCCTGTCTGGCGCCCGCTTCAAGCACCTCCTCCTCCTCCTCCTCCTCCTCCTCCTCCTCCTCCCCTCCTCCTCCTCCTCCTCCTCCTCCTCCTCCTCCTCCTTTCCCTCCTCCTCCATTGACGGCCCGCACCAGGGTGTGGCCCGAGAGCTGGGCGGCCTTCTGAGGAGGCGAGGGGATCCTGGGAGGGCGGGCGGCTTCTCCTCCCGGCTGCCCTCTCGGAAGCCATTGGGCCTCTCTCGGAAGGCCCGCGCCTTCTGGGGAGCCCCACGCCCCCGCCCCGACTCCTCCCTCCGTCCCTCCTCCCTGCCTCCCTCCCTCCCTCCCCTCCCTCCCCTCCCTCCCCTCCCTCCCTCCCTCCCTCCCCCCTGGCCCCCCTCCGCCCGAGGTCTGGGGCTGCGGCGGCGCGGAGGCAGCCGAGGCGCAGGGCGAGCAGAGGTCGCGAGACCAGGGCCTGCGGGACCAGGCCAGGAAGGTGGACCGGGCCCGGATGCTGGAGACCGAGTTCGACAAGGAGGCCTTGCCGTTCGTCTCTGCACGAACGAGATGGGCACGGAAAGAATGGGTACGATGCCCAACAGCAGTTCCTGCTCATTTTGAACCAGACTCGCTGTCCGCGCCGCCGCGGCCTGTGTCCATTTGAGACAGAAGGCCGCCTGCCCAACAGCGGCCGCTGTTGGTTCGGGACAACATTTGCTGTTGGGCATTGTGCCCATTGTTTCCGTGCCCATTTCGGGCGTCCAAATCGTCGTCGGTCGGTCGTCGTCGTACAGTCAAGGAGATCATGAGAACTGTGACTTCAGTTGTTACGATCCTCTGGCCTGCGGCCGGCGTAGGAGGGGTGAGGTAATTCGTCATTTTTCGCGCGTTCGTTCTCTCTCTCTCTCTCTCTCTCTCTCTCAGACCACGGTTCGCCTCATGAATTTGCCTATCGCAGGTCGGCTCCTGGGTGGCACCCAGTTTGCCCGGCGACTCTTTGAGTCGCATGGCAGACGAGGATGAGTGTGGATCTCATGTGTTTGTACGGAAAAACGCCCATCAGGATCATGAGGATGATTAGCTTTTCAAGGGCACCATTGCACCCATGCCTCTCGGCCAATCCTCAGGTATGGGTCATGGGCTTGCGACGTCGGCTCCAATTTGGGAGTCCACGGGCCGCGCATCTTTACCGCGCGTCCTCATGATCAGGTCGCGGTGTATATCTCCACCGCCGTCGTCGCAGTCTTTGTCGTTCGTCGCTCGCCGTCGTTCAGCAGGCCCCCAAGGAGGCGCCCGGGAGGGCCCAGGAGTGCCCGCGAGGCCCCCCAGCGAGGACCAAGGAGGTCCCAGGAGGCTTGTGGTCGGGAGGAGGCCCCAGGTTTGGATACAGGTCCGAGTTCGACAGGGGGGCCCTCCTCCCCACACCTCCAGCCTTGGGAAACAAAAATTATCCCAGTGCGACCCTACCTAGGAGTTGGAGCCCCTAGGAAAGCAGCATTAGTAGTAGCAGTGAAGCTAAGCCAAAGCTAAGCTAAAGTTAAAGCTAAGCTAAAGTTAAGCTGAAGCTAAGCTAAAGCTAAGCTTAAGCTAATATAAAGCTAAGCTAAAGCTAAGCTAAAGCTAATATAAAGTTAATGTAAAGCTAAGCTAAAGCTAAGATAAAGCTAAGCTAAAGCTAAGGTAAAGCTAAGCTAAAGCTAAGGTAAAGTGAAAGCTAAGCTAAAGCTAAGCTGAAGCTAAGCTAAAGCTAGGCTAAAGCGAATATAAAGCTAAGCTAAAGCTAAGCTAAAGCTAAGGTAAAGCTAAGCTAACTATAAACTAAAGCTAAGCTAAATATAAGCTAACACTAAGCTAAAGCTAAGCTAAAGCTAAGCTAAAGCTAAGCTAAAGCTAAGCTATAGCTAAGCTAAAGCTAAGCTAAAGCTAAGCTAGAGCTAAAGCTAAAGCTAAGCTAGAGCTAAAACTAAAGCTAAAGCTAAAGCTCCCAGGGGAATGGGGGAACCGCGGGGCGGGGACCGGGGGAACCGCCCAGGGCGAAGCCCACTGCCCGGCCCCTTTAAGCCCAGCGAATAAGAACCCTCTAGGCAGAGCCTAGGTAGGGAATTAAGACGGTGGTGTCTCATCAGTTGCGGCCTGGGGTGGGCTGCTCCTCGAACGGGTATTACCCAGGTGGTGTACGATCAGTGTCGAGGCAATGGCGGGGTAATTATCAGGCAGAGCACTCGTGATGCATAGGTCGCGAATGGAAACGTATAGCCTGTGCACGTCAGGCGGCCAAAGACTGCACCAAGACGGTGCAAGAGATGCCGAAGACGGTCCCAAGTGGATCCCTAGTGGACGCCAAGAAGGCCCCAGAGGAGCCCAAGGCAGCCCGAAGACAGCCCGGGCGGCCCCCATGAGGACCCCTCGAGGACTGGAGACGGCAGCCCTGACATGCTGCGGCCCTCTAATGCGGTGCTCGAAGCGTCGCCACGCAGAGCGTTGCGCTGGCACTGCGGCGGGGTGTTCGATGCAGTTACCCGCGCACGAGTTCGAACCACGTCGTGCCCTCCAATTTCCTAAGTTCCTGTTGATCGCGCGTGCCACTGCGTTCGCACCAACGTGGTACACTTGCTGTCGCTTCCTACGTCGTCCCCGTTGTCAGCTTGGGCCCCATGTTGGGATCTGTTGGGAAACTCCTGTGCCACGGGTTTCCTGCTGCTGCTGCTGCTGCTGTCCCGCTGTGCTCGCGAGCATTCCGTGGCTTCCTCTGGAGCCCTTCTCGATACGTCCTGTCTCATATCATTACCCTTCCCCCCTCTGAATGCTGCCCTATGAATCCCCCCCGAAATGCCGCCAGTTGCACCAACGATTTATCAGGAACCTCAAACACGGAGAACTGTTGATGATATGGGAGCATTTCATATGTTCCCGCTGGGCCAGCGACGTTGGCCCAGGTGGGTGTCGCCTGCAGCTTCGCGTCCACGCTCGCCCAGGCAGCTTGCAGGTGTGACATGTGGCAGCGGCTGTGCCGGACCCATCCTGCGTACTGGAGCACGGCCTGATAGGCCATGAACATCGGGTCGCCTGGCCCCTCATCATGGCCCGCCGCGTGTGGACACAGAGCATCGTGATGGCGTGCTTGCATCCTGCGATCACTGCTCGGGGCGTTCAGTGCGCGTCCGAGAAGCTGCCGAAGGCACGGGTGCAGCTCGGTTGCCTGTAAGTGACCACAAGCATCCACAGCAGCTTTGGCGGGTAGCCGACCTGTTTGCCTTCGAGCAGCAAGGGTCCACGACCTCGGAGCACTTCCATATGTCGATACACAGCGTGATCGACCCATGCCCCATCGCCCTCGCGATCACGGCGACGAGGTTGTAGCCGAAAGCGGCGTCGACTGATCCTCGCCCCGCGATCGTGCCCTACGCTCGCATGGAGGTGCGACCATGCTGTCGCAACCAGTCGTCAGACAGCTGCTTCCTCGCGCGCCCCCAGATGCGCACGAAGGTGTGCTGCAGCCCGATGAGCTGGGCCCCGCCGTCGGGCCTTGGCAGCCTGACTTAGATACACAACGGCCTATCAGGCGGCCAGCCGTGGAGCAACTCCGCCGTCATGAGCAGCTCCGCCAGGATCTCGAGCGCCTTCTGCGAACGGCACTCCAGCGCACGCGGCGGCATCGTCGAGCGGCCGCAGCGGTCCGCGCTAGGAAGTTGTGTGTGACGTCTTGCAGCTTGCAGTCGGCCAGCACGTAGGGCTGCGCGATCACGCGTATGCTACGGTCCTGAGCGGCGCCTTCACCTTGACGAGCCTGCGAGCTTGTCCAGCACCCCCTACCATCGCGCCTATGGCCCACTGCTTCCGGGAAGCGTGCGCTCGCGGCTCCTCGTGCTGCAGCGCGCTGTTCGCGCGGGCGCCGATGGCCGATGCCTGCCGCTCGAGGTCGGGGGCCTTGGGGATCGCAAGCGCTTCACCGTGCTTCTGCGGGCCACCGAGTTCATGAACCATTCGGCCTGCCCCTGCCGCGCCTGCAGCCAGACCTCCGCTTTGGCCCACTTGTCCATTGGGGTGCGCTGCGCCTCGGCGCACCACTTTGCCGCTTGTCGCGTGCCATTGCGCGGGCGCACCGCATGCCGTGCCCAGCGCTGCGCCAGTTCCCAGGCCTGCGCATCCGGCCCAAGCTGGGGCCGTTTCTGCTGCGATTTCCACTCCGTCTTGCGCCACTTGAACGTGAGGCCCTTGCACTCCGATTGGTAGCGTATGCGCTGCGGCCCCGCGATGTCGCTCCTCTCGCAGACATCATGACCTCCTCCTCCTCCTCCTCCTCCTCCTCCTCCTCCTCCTCCTCCTCCTCCTCCTCAGCGCCCCACATGACAACGCCCCAAGCCACCTGCAGCTCATCGAGTGCGCCGACGGCGAGTACCGCCGTCAGGGCCTCGCTCCACCGCTACGGGTAGCGCGCGCACCCTGGTTTCGGGGACAGGGGCCACTGCACTCGGCTGCACCAGCTGTCGCTCCCAGGCTTCTCGCAGCTCGCATCGCAGGCCCGCGGCCATTGGATGTCGCGGCCACAGGTCAGCTTCAGCCTGCACCTGCGGGACCTCTTCCAGCAGCTTGGCGAAGGCCGTTAACGCGGCTGAGTGGTCGGTTGTTCTGCCAGGCAGCGTTTGCACACGCGTCAGCTTCGCCGGTGCGAGCAGCCGTGCCCTCATCTTCTGCAGCATGCCTTGGTTGAATTCTTGGTCGGACGCCCCAGTGCAGTCGCTTGCCAGACCCCAGGAGTGCACGGCGCGCCATAAGATGCCGAGATTCTCAGCCACTATGTACGAACAGATATGGAAATAGGCTGCGATGAACTCCACCCCTCGCTTGCCTCCCCAGGCGACGCGCGCGGCCATCGCACGATGCGGCGCGAGGGCGATGGCCTCGCAATGCGGGCCGTGTGCGGCGGTCATGCGATGCCGCGCCAGCCCCGCAACACAACCCAACGCTGCCGCCCGCGGTGGCCTTCGCCTCGAGCCAAGCGCCTGCCCAGCCTACGTCCAGCGCCGCGGCTCGTACTTTCCCCAAGCGGTAGTTGAGCGCATGGTGTTCTTGGACGAGGACGACTTGCACGTCTGTCTGGTCTCTGGCGTGGCCAGACACTTGGCAATCGGCCCATGCGCCGCGACAATGCGGCCTCGGGTGCCGCTTGTCATCCCCTCCTTAGTGGGCGGGGCCACCGGGCTCGACGGGTTCGCCCCGAGCCAGGACGCGGCTCCACTCGAGCAGCGGCCCATGGACGGCAGCAAACGGGGCCCGCTTCGCCTGGGCACGCAGGTTACTTCTGTCATAGGCATCGCCAGCTGGCATGCCCTGTTCCTGCAGGAACTCGCGGAGCTCCTCCTCGGTGCACCGCGCGCGCTCGTCCAGGTCGGAGTCGAGATCGCGCCCGCCTGCGGGCTGGTCCGCCCCAGCCGCGGCAGGGCCTGCAGCGGCCGCGGGGGGGGGGGTCCCCGAGCGTCGGGGGCGCCTCCGCCTCCCACGCCCGCGGCACCAGAGCCTGGGGCAGCTGCCGCCTTGGGCCTGGGCCGCCCAGCAGCCTGCGCCTCCCTGGCCCTGGACCAGACGACCACCTGTTCCAGCTGACCGCGCACAGGATCCCCTGAAGCCGATCAGCGCCGGTCCAGCCAGCCCCCCAGCTCGTCGACGTCGGCGCCCAGGCCCGGAATGGCATGGTCTTCTTCTACCTTTTTATTATAATATTTCTTCTTGTTATTATTCGTATTTTGATTGACAATATTAATCTGAATCATGATTCTTATTCTCGGCCCCTGAGTCAGGCGGTCGCGGGACCTGCTGGTGTAGGGCCAGCTGCTACGCAGCAAGCCCATCTTTGGTCGCTTCTTTCGCAATAACTTCCTGCCCCGCGTTCTGCAACTCTTGTTGCAGCTTCTCAAGGGCGAGGTTCTTCTGGGACACCAACCTCTGCGCTTTGCTGACCGCCACCGTAGTTTTCTGGACCTTGAAGATGATCTCCCGCAGCTGCACGTGCACGGGCATGTCCTGCCTGACCAGCTCCTGCAGCTTCGTCTTCTCTTGCTTGCTCTGGCATCCGCACCCCTATCGTCGCCAGTAGCAGCAGCCTATGCGCATTACGGCTCGCCTCCTGCCTTGAGCAATTATGCCCACGGGGTAGTTGGCGAGGGCTTCCTGGCGGCAGTAAGCACCTTCGCGTGCTGATTCCTCTCGGCCTCAAGCTGCGCAAGTAGCCCAGTGACGGATCGAGCACAGGAACGATGGCGCCAGTGCTGGGCAGCGGATGCTGGACAGGGCGTGCACAGCTGACGAATCGCGGGCAAGCCGACGTGGCCCTGCAAGTGATGCACCAATAACACCGCCGAGCAGCATTGGTGGAACCGCGGCGACCAGCTCCGCTGCTCCGCGTGATCAGCACGTCGAAGGTGCAGTGCTTCCTGCGCAGCGTGAAATCCAAGGAGCCAGCCTTCAGCCTGCGGGGAAGCGGCAAGAGCGGCAACGGTGGGCTCGATCCTCGAGTGGGGATCTACCCGCAGTAAGCACCCCAGAGATCGATGCCCAGCAGGGCGCTGAAAAGCACAACATTGGATTGCTTTGTCCTCAAAGCGCGAACCCTCTCAGGCCCAGAGACGCCCGTGACCAGACTTCCAGTCGTCGGGCGGTTTATGGCCTTGAACCAACATGGATACGGATGTGTGTGTTGTTTGTGTTATGTGTGGCGTGTAATGATGTGTTGTGCTGTGCTGTGCTGTGTCGTGTCGTGCCGTGTCCTTTCGTGCCGTGTGTTGTGTTGTGTTGTGTCGTGTCGTGTCGTGTCGTTGTGTGTTGTGTTGTGTTGTGTGCCTGTGCCTGTGTCTGTGTCTGTGTCTGTGTGCGTGCGTGTGTGTGTATGTGTTTGTGCAGCGTACTTTCGCAGTTCTGTGTTGCAGCGTCTGGTGGTTCAGTGGCCGCATTTGGGGCTTCCACGCGCCAGCTCGCGCTGGCTGTCTGTCTGTGGTGAGTCCTTGCTGCACTCACTTTGGCTGGTCTGGCAACCGGTACAGGTCTCTTACTTCGTTAGTTTCATTGTCTAACGCTTCTGTGGTGATTCAGTGGCCGCCAATTTGCACCAGACTGCATGCGCTTCAGTTTACCTCGAGTTGAGTTGGCTCCTCGGTTCTCTGGCCGCTGCAGGTTTCGCCTGCATTTACAATTATTCCTACACCACCCATCGCTGCATTTGACAGTGTGCACGGGTTGTGCACTGTTCCTTCGACAACGCTCGATCGCAATTGGCACTTCCATCTGCCTTCCGCTCCTAAAGACCCTCTGCGCCGCCAGCTTGAAAAGTGTGTGTGTGCGTGCGTTCATGCAGCGGCGCGCGCTGCAGCGTTGCGCGCCTGCTCGTCGCCCGCCTGCTGCTGGCCAGCCTGGGTCATCTCAATGCATTCGGGCGCCTCGACTGCAGACCCCCCCCCTGGCACGGGTGAGTGACGACCAGTTTTGGGTGACGACCAGTTTTGGGTGACAGTCCAAACCGCGCAATGTTTTGAAAGTGTGTGAAGCTTGTTTTCCCCCTGGAGATCACTTTGGTCGGTTCTCACGGAGATAATCTTAGCAACGTCATTGTTCGTTGTCGTTGATTGTGGTTCGTCGTTCGTTGCTCGTGGTTGTTCGCCGTCGCTGGTCGTCGTCGTCGATGCTCGTGGCCGTCGTATTCGTCTTCGTCGTTCCATCCCGTCGCCGGTGCTCGTCGTCATCGCTCGTCGTCGTCGTTCGTCGCCGTCGTCGCTCGTCAGCATCGTCGTTCATCGCCGTCGTCCGTCGTCACTCGTGGTCACTCGTCGTCGTTGTTGCTCCTCGCCGTTGTGTTTAGTCGCGGTTTCTCGTCGTTGGCGGTCGTCGTCATTATCGTTCGTCGCCGTCGCTGTCGAAATTCGTCTTGATTCGTCTTCGTTGCTCGCATCTTCGTTGTGTTCGGCGCCGTTCGTCGTTCGTCGCCGCTGTTTCTCGCCATCATTGTTCGTCGCTGTCGTTCTACGGTCATCGTTGGATCGAGTTCGACAAGGAGGTCCTCTTTCCCCTACTGCTTCTCCTGCTCCTCCCCAGTCCTCCACCCTATCCCGTCCTCCTCCCCCTCCTCATCCCCCTCCCGTCCCGGTCCAGACCGAGTCCGCTCAACAAGAACGCTCCTCCCCTGGACCCCTCGCGGGGCCCGGGGCTTCTGGAGGCCGAGGTCGAAAGCAAAAATTGCGCGACGCGATCTCTTCGATCCCCGCGGCTCCCTCGGAGGGCGGGGGCGGGATCGAAGAGGTCCGCACCGCTCCGCACGCAGAGGACTCCCGACGATGGCGACAACACCGACGACGACGTCGGAAATCCTCTCGCGGAGCGGCGCCACGGCGTCTGCTAAAGTCTTGGGCGATGCCAAACATCAAAGTGAGATGTTGCGGTGGGCGTTTCGGAAGGGCGCGGCGGTTTCGGCCGGACATGGGGCCCCTGGAGGAGCCCCAACTCCTTGCGTTTCCCGCTCTTGCCTCTGCGAACGGCGCCGAGGTCGAGAATTTACGGCTGCGTGCACGTCTGTACCGATCCTGGCCAGACCTATCCTTGGTCCAGGGATCGGTGCACGTGCTCTCCCGGCCAGGCCCAGCAGGGCGTGTACGCCAGTCATGGGCACAGGATGGGCCTGGCCAGCATCGATGCGTGTGTGTGTGTGTGTCTGTGTGTATACGCTCGAGCATGTGATGGAGAAGCCCCCTCGGGAAAAGCTAGGCCAACTTTTTGTTGACCAACTTGCTGGAAAAGGTGGCCCCGCTTCTTGAGCACGGTCGCCCCTCCAGAGCGCGAACCACAGAGTTGGCCCATGGCTGCTATGAAGACGTGTCCTGGGAGCTGGCCCAGGTTTCTTTACACCAGGGTTTTTTCTTGATCACATGTTCGGCGGTGGCTGGCGCCATCCTGGAGGCTCGGGGGTGGACAGACCTCCTACCCTGACACGTCGATTAAGGAATTGGTCGTTTTCGATTCGCGAGAGGGCGTCGCGGCCGTCATTTTTGCGGGTCCAGGCCCGTCGGCTTCGGTCCCAGGCCGCTTTCACTAAGGGGAGGTCTACGAAAGGGAGGCTTGTCCACCGCCGAGAGGTGCTCTTCGAGAAGGCCTTCGCGAAGGGCTCGGCTTCCAAGCACACCGACCAGTGCTGACCGCGACCCACACGGCGGCGGCCGCCGCGCGGGCCGCGCGGGCCTCTCCGCGCGCCGGCGCCGAGCCGCCCCGCGGCCCCTCCGCGCGGCGCTCCCCGGCGGCGGCGCGCACGCGGGGCTGGCGCGGGGGAGGCGGCCCATGAGCCTGGGCCTCCCAGATGGGGTCGGAGTGCAGTCAAAAGTCCTAATAAGGACGCGCGACGTTGCTCGGGGTACCCTCGCGTCCTTGCTCTTCCTTGCTCTTGCGTCCTTGCGGTGTTCGTCGTCCGCCGCCCCAAAAATCCCAACTTCGGCTTCCAAGGGTCTTGCGTCCTTACCGCGCGTCCTTAGTAGGGTTTTTGACTGTACGGTGGGGGCGTTGGATCAGGAATGTGCCCAAGAGGCTGCAGACCCTGGAGGATTCCTTATCTGAGGAGGGCGGCTTTGATGTCCATGGCCACTCCACGATTGGCTTTCCACTGGCTTCCAGACCCTGGGTTCCTTATCTAAGGGTTCCTTATTCAATGCCCCCACCGTAGATCAGGAGCGAAGGAAGGACGTACACGTACAAGAATCCACGTTGGTTTCGAGAGTACGCATTGCGCGAATGTTTGCATCGCGCGGCGGATCTCGCGAATCGAGGGGCCGTGATCATGTACATAGTTTGGCGCGTACGTCCTTTGTGGGCTCCCTAGTAGATGGGGTCGGAGGATCGCGCCGCATCGCCGATGCATCGGCAGTGCGGCTCGGTGCGGAGCCCGATTTTCTCCGCGCCCACGTCGCCAATGCATCGCCGATGCGTCGCCGCTGCGGCGCGATCCTCCGACCCTATCTGCTCGAGCTCCATCTAGGAGGCCTCCAGTGAAGCAGGCAGGGGAGATTCCTGGAGGGCAGGGGGCCCTCGTCGCGGATGGCCCGGAGGCACTCCGAGAAGCCTCCTTTTGGAGGCCAGGAAGGATTCTGAGAAGGCCCCCTGGCTTCTCTGAGCGCCGCCGCCCCGCCCCCCCTCGCACTCACCAATTACCCCCATGGTGCGCGCCGCCAGTCCTCCCTCGAGGATCGACGGTCGAGGGTAGGCTCGAGGAGGCCCCTGAAGGCCAGCGGGTTGCCGTCGACGCCGTCGTCGACGAGGTTCCTGGAGGCTTCAGGCCTTCTTGTGCCTTCTCGGACCTCCCAGGGCGCCCCTCGCCGCTTCTGCCGGGCCCGCCTGGAGATCCTGGTCGGAGCGCGCTCCAGGAGAGGTCCCCGCCCGCCCGCGAATCATGGGAACTCACAGACCGTTGGAGAACGACCCTTCAGCGGAAGGCGATGCACGCCCCGAAATCTGGCATGGACCTCGTCGCCTTCCCTGCCGTCATCAACAGCATCGTACTCGAGGCTCGGAGGCCGTGCGTCGGGGATCGAGGATTTGAGTTCACAGCGCTGGCCTGTAACAACAAATCCGGAGACCTGCGGTTGCCTCCAAAGGCCTCTTGGGTTTGGGGGGACTCCAGGAGCTCCTTCCATTTCGGCCCCCAGAGCACACTTGAAACATCATCTTCCTCCCCCCATCCTCCCTCCCCCCCTCCCTCTTCCCTCCTCTCCTTTCCTCCTCCTCCTCCTCTTCCTCTTCCTCCTCCCCTCCGTAGCCATTTTGGCTCAAGGCCCAGGGTATTGCCCGACCGGCCGACGTCGCCCGTGCTGTTGCACAGCTCTGTCGCCAGCGAGGTGAGCGCGCCCATCGGGCAGCCCCGCGGCACGCGGTTCGCCTCCTTCCTCCAGCGCTGCACCGGCGTCCACGTTCGACGAGCTGCTGGGAAGGCTCTCCGGAAGGCTGTGCGCGGCTCACCACGAGGAGGCCTCACGGCTGGAGGGTACCGTCGCCGAGCTGAGCGGATCGTGAGCGTTCCATGGATGCGAAGATGAGCAGATGTGCACCGAAGTGTGTTCGTTTTATCTCGGATGGTGAATGTTGGGTCGCTGTGCAGGTCAGTCGGTGTCTATCCAATGGTTTTTGCTTGGTACGGGATCGTGAGGACTGGATGGTTCTGAGGATCAGCAGATGTACACCGAATGGTACTTGTTGCAAGGAATCGTGAGGGTTGATATCAGCAGATGTGCACCGAATGGTATTTTCGCAGGGGATCGTGAGTATCGGCCGCAGCAGATGTCCACTGAATGGTTTGTTGCAGGGGATCGTATACGATGGGTGAGTAAGTGTGACATCCGAAAATGTCTACGCCATACCAATCTGAGAACAGATTTGGCCTAAGGTGAGACGGTCTTGCGATCGGCCGACGTGCATGGCGTCAGCTTTTTTGGCAGAGGATCTCAAACAGGATCGCGGCCCAGGGTAGGTTTGGACCCGGTCGGCGACTGGCCGCGGCGGGGTGAAAGGCTTATACTTACGCAGGACGAAAGATTTTCCTCTTGAGGTGAAAATGGCCATGAGGAGTTCGCGAGACAGTGTCGGCGCCGCCGAACGGACGGCGACCAGACGAGCTGTTTGCAGCAACAGGGGGGGGATGTATGTATGTATTCATGTTGAATGGGGCCCGCTCGCGCGGGGAGTTGATGGGAGTGCGCGAGACGACGCAGGGCCCATCGTGGAAAATTGATGACCGAACCCCCCTCCCCCATAGAATCTTAACACGGGCGGGTTGCGGGGTCCGCGGATATGATTTCTTCCGGCTCCCTGGTTTAATTTAATCATAATATAAATTCTTTACGCTTCGCGTATCCCCACCATCCCATCTCACAGCAGCAACTCTCGCGAAGCATGCCGACAGTCGTGTTTTTCAGACGTGTGTCCGCTTGGCCCCGCATATCTCCCCTGTTCCTCCTTCCTCCCGCCTCCTTGTACATCCTCCTTGTGGGGGGAGCGGGAGAAGGACGAGGCGGAGGAGGAGGGAGAGAAAGCGCTCCTCGTGGTTTGAGTCGTTCGGGCCCTTCTTCCTGGTGTGAGTCGTTCGGGCTCTTCGTGGTGTGAGTCGTTCGGGCTCTTCGTCCTGGTGTGAGTCGTTCGGGCTTCTCGTGGTGTGAGTTGTTCGGGCCCCTCGTCCTGGTGTGAGTCGTTCGGGCCCCTCCTCCTGGTGTGACTCGTTCGGGCTCCTCGTGGTGTGAGTCGTTCGGGGCCCTCGTCGTGGTGTGAGTCGTTCGGGCTCCTCGTGGTGTGAGTCGTTCGGGCGCCTCGTCCTGGTGTGAGTCGTTCGGGCCCCTCCTTCTGGTGTGAGTCGTTCGGGCTCTTCGTGGTGTGAGTCGTTCGGGCCCCTCGTCCTGGTGTGAGTCGTTCGGGCTCCTCGTGGGGCCTGTTGGGGGCCTCTTGGAGCCTCTTGGGGCGTCTTGGGGGCCTCTTGGGGGCCTCTTGGGGGCGTCTTGGGGGCCTCTTGGAGCCTCTTGGGGCCTCTGGGGGGCCTCTTGGGAGCCTCTTGGGGACCTCTTGGGGCCTCTTGGGGGCCTCTTGGGGGCCTCCTGGAGGCCTCTTGGGAGCCTCCTGGGGGCCTCTTGGGTCCATCTTGGAGCCTCTTACGACCTCCTCAGAAGCGCAAATGAGCGCCTCCCCCTGATTTGACCAAAATGAGCCCAAAACCTTCGTAAAATCAATGATGTTGCTATGAAGGAAGGGGAACGCGGCCCCCTCAGAAGGCCAAAATGGGGCCAGAACCGTAGTAAAATCAATGATTTGTGCTTCAAAGACGAGCTGAGGCACCAAACTCCCCCCCCCCCTCGGGGCCAGAATCCTCGTGAGGGTTGTCGTTTTTTGGCCCTCCCAGACGTCGAAAAAGACCCCCCTGACGGCCCGCGAAACTCCCTCTCCAGGTCCAGGGGGAGGGGGTAGGGGGAGGGGTAAACCCCTCCCCGAAGGGGAAGAAGGGGGGTTGAGGACAGAGAGAGAGCTCTCTAAACCACTCACGCCCAAAGGGCTGGTGGGATTTAAGACAGGGTAGAAATCGGATCCGCCGTAAAAAATGAGACCGGACACAGATCCAGCGAATCCGAAATCGGATCCGTACGGACGGAAATCGGATCCACCGAAACAAACACCAAAACCACATTTGGATCCGCGCGAGGCTCATGAGATCCGACGGCGGTTATATCATACGGGTCTGCTCCAGACTTCACACCGTCGTTCCGGGCCCAAGAGGAAAAACTTTCGTCCTGGGGATGAGCGTTTTGGCCTTCGGACTCGTTGGTTACCACATAGCCGACACACCACATCTCACACGCAATCCGTTGTTGGTTACCACACAGCCGACACCACAACTCATAGGCAATCCGTTGGGTGAGGAGACGCAGGGCCGAAACGCAGCGTTTTGGCCTTCGGACTTGTTGCATACCACATAGCCGACACACCACATCTCACACGCAATCCGTTGTTGGTTACCACGCAGCCGGCACCACATCTCACAGGCAATCCGTTGGGTGAGGAGACGCAGGGCCGAAACGCATGAGCGTTTTGGCCTTCGGACTCGTTGAATACCACATAGCCGACACACCACATCTCACACGCAATCCGTTGTTGGTTACCACACAGCCGACACCACATCTCACAGGCAATCCGTTGGGTGAGGAGACGCAGGGCCGAAACGCAGGAGCACGCATAGCCGAAACCGCCACGCGCGTTTGGCCTTCGGACTGTTGGTTACCACATAGCCGACACACCACATCTCACACGCAATCCGTTGTTGGTTACCACACAGCCGACACCACATCTCACAGGCAATCCGTTGGGTGAGGAGACGCAGGGCCGAAACGCATGAGCGTTTTGGCCTTCGGACTCGTTGGTTACCACATAGCCGACACACCACATCTCACACGCAATCCGTTGTTGGTTACCACACAGCCGACACCACATCTCACAGGCAATCCGTTGGGTGAGGAGACGCAGGGCCGAAACGCAGAGCGTTTTGGCCTTCGGACTCGTTGGTTACCACATAGCCGACACACCACATCTCACACGCAATCCGTTGTTGGTTACCACACAGCCGACACCACATCTCACAGGCAATCCGTTGGGTGAGGAGACGCAGGGCCGAAACGCAGCGTTTTGGCCTTTCGGACTTGTTGCATACCACATAGCCGACACACCACATCTATACCGACACACCACATCTCACACGCAATCCGTTGTTGGTTACCACACAGCCGACACCACATCTCACAGGCAATCCGTTGGGTGAGGAGACGCAGGGCCGAAACGCACTGAGCGTTTTGGTTTTCGGACTTGTTGCATACCACATAGACGACACCACATCTCACAGGCAATCCGTTGGGTGAGGAGACGCAGGGCCGAAACGCACTGAGCGTTTTGGCCTTCGGACTCGTTGGTTACCACATAGCCGACACACCACATCTCACACGCAATCCGTTGTTGGTTACCACACAGCCGACACCACATCTCACAGGCAATCCGTTGGGTGAGGAGACGCAGGGCGGAAACGCAGCGTTTTGGCCTTCGGACTTGTTGCATACCACATAGCCGACACACCACATCTCACACGCAATCCGTTGTTGGTTACCACACAGCCGACAGCCGACACACCACATCTCACACGCAATCCTTTGTTGGTTACCACACAGCCGACACCACATCTCACAGGCAATCCGTTGGGTGAGGAGACGCAGGGCCGAAACGCAGCGTTTTGGTTTTCGGACTTGTTGCATACCACATATCCGACACACCACATCTCACACGCAATCCGTTGTTGGTTACCACACAGCCGACACCACATCTCACAGGCAATCCGTTGGGTGAGGAGTCGCAGGGCGGAAACGCACTGAGCGTTTTGGCCTTCGGACTCGTTGGTTACCACATAGCCGACACACCACATCTCACACGCAATCCGTTGTTGGTTACCACACAGCCGACACCACATCTCACAGGCAATCCGTTGGGTGAGGAGACGCAGGGCCGAAACGTTTGGCCTTCGGACATGATGCATACCACATAGCCGACACACCACATCTCACACGCAATCCGTTGTTGGTTACCACACAGCCGACACCACATCTCACAGGCAATCCGTTGGGTGAGGAGACGCAGGGCCGAAACGCAGCGTTTTGGTTTTCGGACTCGTTGATTACCACATAGCCGACACACCACATCTCACACGCAATTCGTTGTTGGTTACCACACAGCCGACACCACATCTCACAGGCAGTCCGTTGGGTGAGGAGACGCAGGGCCGAAACGCAGCGTTTTGGCTTTCGGACTTGTTGCATACCACATAGCCGACACACCACATCTCACACGCAATC